ATATAAAATATATATATATATATATATATATATATATATATATATATAAGAACATACTATAAATATACAGAGGAAACACATGTATTATGTCAAAACAAACTTTAAATTTGGAAGTGAATTATCACTATATACACATATATACTCACCGGCCACTTTATTAGGTACACCTTACTACTGCCAGGTTGGACCCGGTTGTCCAGTTTTGGTGAGTCTGTGTGAATTGTAGCCTCAGTTTCCTGTTCTTAGCTGACAGGAGCGGCACCCGGTGTGCTCTTCTGCTGCTGTAGCCCATCCGCCTCAAGGTTGGACGTGTTGTGTGTTCAGAGATGCTCTTCTGCAGAGCTCGGTTGTAACGAGTGCTTATTTGAGTTACTGTTGCCTTTCTATCAGCTGGAACCAGTCTGGCCATTCTCCTCTGACCTCATCAACAAGGCATTTGCGCACACAGAACTGCCGCTCACTGGATATTTTCTCTTTGTCGGAGCATTCTCCGTAAACCCTAGAGATGGTTGTGCGTGAAAATCCCAGTAGATCAGCAGTTTCTGAAAAACTCAGAGCAGCCCGTCTGGCAGCAACAACCATGCCCCGTTTAAAGTCTCTTAAATCCCCTTTCTTCCCCATTCTGATGCTCAGTTTCAACTGCAGCAGATCCTCTTGATCATGTCTACATGCCTAAATGCAGTGAGCTGCTGCCATGTGATTGGCTGATTAGAAATTTACATTAGCAAGCAGTTAGACAGGTGTACCTAATAAAGTGGCCGGTGAATGTGTGTTTAAATATATAAATGATGAAACTATTAAATAACACTAATAACTTTACTTTTTCAATCCGCTATATATATATATATATATATATATATATATATATTATTTGCACTAAACAGCTCTACATGCTGAGCGCTCATTTGTCAGAAGCTCCACCCCTCTGTGATATTTAAACCCTTTATAGAGCACTGAAATACTCACTGGACAAATCTTGGAGCAGTCATGTGGGTTATTACAAGACTTTTGAACTTTGAAGACTTAAAAAGTATAAAACAATCAATGTAAGTAGGTTCTGCGCCCAATAAATTAATGCTTAGGAGCTTCCCCCACAGAGTGCTTGTTAGTCAGTAACTCCGCCCACAGAGTGTTGGTTTCTCTGTAGCTCCGCCTACTGAAAGATAATCTTTTAACCCTTAAAAGTATATACGGCCACACTCATTGATCCACTCATTGGTAAAAAAAAACCTGCAATGTTAGAGGTTAATAGCGGCAACATTTTATTCATTCATTCATTTTCTTTTCGGCTTAGTCCCTTTATTAATCTGGGGTCGCCACAGTGGAATGAACCGCCAACTTATCCAGCATATGTTTCACACAGCGGATGCTCTTCCCACTGCAACCCATCACTGGGAAACACACATACACACTCATTCTCACACACATGCTATAGACAATTTAGCTTACCCAATTCACCTATATTACATGGGTTTGGACTGTGGGGGACCAACGCCAACACGGGGAGAACATGCAAACTCCACACAGAAATGACAACTGACCCAGCTGAGACTTGAACCAGCGACCTTACTGTGGGGCAATTGTGCTGCTCACTGTGCCACCCCACGGCAACTTTTATGAACTTAAAAATAAAGTGTATTACACATTAATAAAGCTACCATATGATATCTCACCTGATCGCACAATAAAGGGTTAAGAGCTCCGCCCACTGAGTGCTGGTTTGTCAGAAGCCCCGCCCTTTACATTAGTATGTTAGCTTCTACTCTGCGATTGGTTTATGAGGAGACTTTTTAATGGTGACATATTCAGTGCAGGAGTGGCTCAGTGGTTAGCAAGAAGGTCGCTGGTTCGAGCCCCAGCTGGGTCAGTTGGCGTTTCTGTGTGGAGTTTGCATGTTCTCCCCGTGTTGGCGTGGGTTTCCTCAGGGTGCTCCGGTTTCCCCCATAGTCCAAACACATGCGCTATAGGGGAACTGATCAACTAAATTGGCCGTAGTGTATGAGTCTGTGTGGGAATGAGTGTGTATGGGGAATGAGTGTGTATGTTTCCCAGTGCTGGGTTGCAGCTGGAAGGCCATTCAATGTGTAAAACATATGCTGGAATAGTTGTCGGTTCATTCCACTGTGGTGACCTCTAATAAATAAGAGGACTTAGGCAAAGGAAAACGAATGAGTGAATATTCAATATTAAACACGTATAATAAGAAACACAATTAATAGTCAATTAATAATTAAACACTATTAATAAGTCAATGAAAGGTCATTAACAAAGTATAATGGAGTTTATTTCTGTTTGTGAGCAACAGCTGCAGTATAAAGTATTAAGGCACAAAAATCTGTAGTTTCAAACATAATCCAGTGAACAACATCAGACAGAGAGCAGCGCTTCAGTCCGTCTGCATGGGGAGTGTGTGTCAGTGAGTGTTTTAGCTTATGTGTGTGTGTGTGTGTGTTCAGCGTGTGTGTATGTGTTGACATTGTAACTGTAGTGCAGGTGGGAATTTGCAGATGAATTCTGTTTGTCCTCGATGAACTTTCCTCAGCTGAGATTTTCCTGAAACGAACACACACACACACACACACACACACACACATTAATATTTTATGTGTGATAGTTTTATTTTTTTTAGTAAAGAAAAAACATTAAAAAGTGATTTAAAGGGTCACGAAACACCAGAACACACTGTATACTGTTCTATATATGCACAACTCTGGTTTCACTCATTGCCATATGCCATAATGTCATTGTATTGTATTGTTTACGATTTTTTTTCATTACATATATTTTTACATTACATTTTATGTATTACTGTATTTATTGTAAATTCTTTCTTAAAAACTCAACTTTTTGTATTATTATTACATGTTAGGCACCGAGGGTCTGACAGTAATGTAATTTTGATTTTCTATATGTCCTGTACATGTGGTTGAATTGACAATAAAGCTGACTTTTGAGCTGTTGACGGTCATATATGTGTCCCACGCTGCTAAAAACACTATTAGGACACAAATATTTCACTAACAAGCAAAAATTGGTTGTTTTTGCGTTATTTCAGTGTTATTTTGAATTTTTGAAGCTGCGTTACAGAGATTAGATTCTTGTGTGTATTCCAGTGTGTAGACTGGATGTCTGTACCAGCGAGTACAACGTGATGTGCTTGAGTGTGCAGCATTAATTCATGAGAAAGACTTGCCTCAAAGCAATCAGCGCGCTCTATTGTGAATGATGCGGTGCAACTTCATTATTATGCATGATCGCTTCGAAGACTGTTTTCACCAGTTACAGTGTTCAGATGGCGCCACGTTGTGTTGCCAAAACAAGTGGAAGAGGAGGAATTGTTTGCAGATACGGGTCATTAGACTTGTGTTTGTAAATGTGCTGCAGTGAAGGTTTTGTTTTCATTTTCTCGCTATGAGAGCGCAGCTGGACTCACGTGTGGATTACAGTGGTCTGCTTACACGCGACAGAAATACATTTGTGAGGAACATTGTTTTACCCGAGAGCTTTTCTCATCTGGAAATGGTGAAATCTGGATTTGCCGCTCGTCTCCTTTTAACAAAGACGCGGCTCCAGTTGGTGTTGATTGTCCCGTCTCTACAGGTTTGGTCAGTGTGTGATCAGCACTCTTTGTTTGTTTATTCAGAGGCAAAGTTAGTTTGTGTCGTCAGCAGAACTCTTTCAGTGTTTAAAGACAGAGCTTGGTCAGAATGATCTAGTGACTCAGTTTACAGTATGTTAACATCACTACTCTATTATGAGCTGAAAGATCTGCTGTAAATGCTGCTCTCCGAGTGTAAACATGTAAACACCGCGATCAAACTATTACCGTTGTGTAGGATTTTCACCGCATTTTGTGACAGGATAGACTAAACGGACACGGCTTTCTGACGATACATTACCTACCGAGCACATCTAAGTTACAGAGAAATGTGGGTTTTTTTTTCTCCCATTCGCATCAAACACTCCATTAAAACTACACTCTTCCAGCAGTTCCTCATATGCATTATCTCCTTTGTCACGGTGGGCATAAAGGAAATGTATCTGAATGAAAGTGTGTACTGTATGGCAGGGGTTTCCAAACTTTTCAGCTCGCGACCCCTAAAATGACAATGCCAGTGACTTGTGACCCCCAATATCCTCTGAGGTGGTTATAAATACAGAGACCTTGCATGCAATGGCGCACACACAGCAATAGACCCAAGTCTGTTCTTCGTTTAATTTTTAAATGTATGTCAGAGCTGTAAATGGGCCAGTAAGTCATCTGACGCTATTGCTGTGTCTCAATATAATTACCCCAGGGGTCGCAATCCAATAGAACAATAAGCTACTATAGTAACTATAAACGACTATTTTTCCTCTTCAGTAGGTTGTGAATAAAATATGGTAATTCTTATGGTTCAATAAAAATAAATAGATTTTTGGAAGTCACCAGGCAACCCCTCTTCATTGTCCCACGACCCCTCTGGGGGTCCCGACCACCACTTTGAGAACCACTGCTGTATGGTGTTGTTTCGTTTTGTAAGCTGTGCATTGATTTATTTAAGTGGTGTAATTGTGACATCTAGTGGCGGAAAATGTCATTGCGCCATTCTTTAGAACAACCGGATGTTTACAAAGTCATAGAAGACGAGACTGTGATCGCCATGCAGAGACGCGTTGTTGTTTGCTTTCAGCCCTTGTGATAGAAACGACTGAAAGTTTTTATTTTAAAAACATCTGCAATACTTCCTTTGGGTTAAATTGATTAAGGAGGGTCAGTATTGACATGTTTAATGCTTGATGTTCTGTTTTAAATGCTAACAAGCTTTCATATAGATGCACGTCACTAAAGTGCCTGGATTGTTTATTTAGCTGTTTGATATCAGTTTAAATATGTCAGTTTATGTTTACAAATGTGAAAGATGCATATTATTTGTGATATTTCGTAATCACTTTGTAATTTTTACCCTTGGTATTTTTCCTTTTTAGTTTTACAAGCAAATCAAGTAAAAGTGCTTCGCATTTGCAAGAAGAAAGTGTGATGGTGCTTTATTTCTGTTAACTATCTGTCAAGCTTTGGTTCAGAACACCATTGCCAGGGCAGAATAAAGTGAAAGTGCCAAACTGCAGTTAAAGTCCACAAATTAATCATTTGGCATATAATGTGATTACTGATGTCCATGTAAACACAGTCACTGTCTCTCTCCTTTGCGTCTATGTGTTTGTTTTGCCTCTGTGTAAATCAGCGCGTGCCCAAACTGAAACTCCCATTTTTATGCAAAACCCTTCCCTCTTTCCCTCCCCGACACTCCCACCTAAACAGAGTTGGACACGCCCACTCTCCTGACTTTATTCCAACTAGAAGTGTGAAAACAC